TTAGGTGACCAGTGAGTTCTTGATCCAGTTAAAGGTGTATGGATTTGAGATTTTGTAAAAACCAGTAGTTCTAACAAAATGAAAACTTCTTTCCTGAGAATGAGTATAGACCTCTAATTTGCCCCGTCTTCTCCAACTGTCTCTTTATAAACCATAGAATGAAAATGTAATGAAATCTTAATAAAGAGTAAATAAGCAAAGGATGAAATAAGATAATTTTATAGAGTATGTGACTTTTAAAAAGATGAGAAGTTCTGTATCTTGTGCAAGATTGAAATAAGATTCATATCTCATATCATTTGACACTACATACATGAAGAATCAGAGGATAATTTTTTCTAAATATTATAAAGGGAATGCTTGCCAATTTGAAATAATTTAGAAGCTTCCCTGTGTCTGTCAATGAGGGCTTTTGCTTGACCTTTAGATCTTCTAAAACTGAAACTGATATTTAATTTTGTCCTCTTGCCTTCAACTATTTCTCAAAATTTTAATTTCTTGTGCTTGTTAGATGTCTAGTTCAGTTTAAAACGCTTTGGTGTTTTAATACAGTACTCTATATTATTAGCAAGTAGTTTAAACTTTAACTGAAAGAGTGATCCAGGTATGCACAGACCGTGATGGTTCCCTGGGCACTATTTCCCTAAGGCCCCTACATCAGAGGCACCAAAAACAAGTTCTTTAGATCTAGGTGCATCTATATACAATCAACACCTCTCAAACTGAGTGTAAGAAATTGGTTTTTATTGATGCATCATGTCTGATTAGGCATTCTGATTGACATATTCATATGTTTCCTTTGGTGAAAATAAGAGTATGTCGTATATAGAGACTAGCTCATGCCATTGAAAAAGAGACAGGATCCACAGATTGACCCTCCATCCTCTGTGGTGGGGCACTGGAATAAGAGGAAATCTGACTGACAGTTGCTGACTCAAGGACACAGGACCTGCTTCTAGAGTGTTGCCATGTCCACGCCAGGGAGTGTCATGTGTAGGGTATATCAAAGTACCCACGAGGACAGGGACTGAGGCTTTCACTGAACTTATACAACAGGTTTTATTTCTGATTTGCTAATGACTATTTATCTAATAAGTATGTGGATGTAATAAAATTTTCACTTAGATTTGCATTCATTATGATACAATAATGAAGTTAGAGAGCAGATAGTTCAGCACTTTGAAGCTCTGGGGTTTCCATCGTTATCTAACCAAACAGCAACAAAAAGAACTTTACCAAATTCAACCTCCATGAGTTAAAATGAGTGCTTTGAGATCTTTGGTATAATAAGTCACCTTAAAGTCTTTTGAAAAGAAGCAAAAATGCATTTTTTGACAGAAAAAACTACTTTCAGAATTTAACTACCTATATCTGAAATAATTTTTGCTTTCTACAAATATTATATACAACACTTGAAAAAAATATCCAATACACTAAGGTATGGAGAAAATACTTTTCCAAATAAATTTCACTGGTATATGAACATCCTGGTTAAACTTAAAAATACATAAAGACAGCAAAGGGCAAATTTGCTTTATGGGAAAGTTCAAACTATAATGATGTGAGTTGTAACTAATTTTATAGCAGCATTTTAAAAAGCTTTAAAATTACCTTTGATTCTTTGCTGACAGCAATTGAATCTACTGATTAAGGATTTCAATACACAGATATTTTAAACAATAGATTATGGAGGTTTGTTTCTACCTCAATTCTAAAGGAAGCAGAGATATTACTGATAACTGATATCATCTCACTAGTAAAATGATCAGGTCAATTATACTGCAACAAGTAATTCAGAAAACGACTAGTGTGACACTTCAAAACTATTCTAGACATCACCATCAAATACCTATTTTTCTACAAACTAGTCATGCCAACCCTCAGAGACAGTACTAAACAATTTGTTTAAGAATTTCTCTCAAAGACTTACAATTTCCACTTGGAAATTGGGAATACTAAAGCATCAATCAACACTTACTGGGTAAGTCAAAGATAAGAATCAGATCAATTTCAAAATACCCATGGCACTGAAGAATTGCTACCTGCAACCCAAATAAAATACTGCACCCATCAATCAATATTTTTATCTTTTTAAAAATACTTTCTTAGTATTTATAAAGCATTATACATCCGTGTAAATGATAGGCATTTTCATTTTGGAATTTTAAAAATCTCAGCTAAAGTAAAACATATATGACTTTTTACAAACTTAACTATCATATATAACCAAATAGGACCAGTTTAATTCAATTTAAAGCATATTATACAAAAATATATACAATTATTCCAGTGAAAATCTTGGTATTCTTGACAATGACTCAGAATAAAATTCGGCCTTTTCTATTTTACCTCTGAAGTCATTCTAATACAAACTGTTCTAATCTGTGATATCTATGCAGAGTATTAAAGCAAAGTTAATATTGGATAAAAGAAAATCACCTAATCATCATTACTGATCACTAATTCCTCCCCAGAAGCATCAATCATTCACATCAACATTTATCAGTCATCTGGAACAGAACCACTATCATTCTAAAGCCACATGGAATCTATCGTGTAGTTAGAGACCTGGGGAGAAAGCAAACCACACTAATTTCTCCTTTGAAAAAAACCACAAAGCAGTCGTCCCTCACAATCCGAAATGAAAAGTAAAGCTAGGCTTGTCTTAGCTTGCTTGTGATAGTCATAATATTTGAAGATACTATCAAAAGGACATTTTTATGAAAAACTGAGGATATCAAAGCCAGTAAAGGCCCAAATGGGCAGGCCAAATGTAATTGAGACTATTTGATTTCCGAATATTGATTCCATTTAGAGTTAAGTGATGTGGTGATTACTACCGCCAGGTAGCCCCTGAGCACCTGAAATGCAGGTGGTGCAAATGAAAGTGCTGTGAGAATAAAATATGCACTGAAGACTTAAACACAACTGCAAGATATTACATTCATAATTTTATATTAATGCTATGTTTAAGCTGTAATATTATAGCCATACTGAGTGAAATACAATATATTTAAAGTCATCCATTTCTTTTGATTTGCAAAGGTAGCTACTTTAAAAATTAAACTACATATCTGGTTTGCATTTCTATTTTTCACTCATTGCTGTAGTTAGACGATAATCATAATCATTTTAGTAGACTGTGCGAGAAATTCTACTCTACTACTTGGCTCAAAACTTGTTAAGAGGGCGACAGTTTTCGAGCTTATTTCCTACTGAAGAGCATGCAGTTTTCTATAGTCTAGTGAGAGATGTAACTTGAAAGTGCTGGAAGTGGAAACAGTGACAGACAGGGGAGACTTCATAGGGAAAACCTGAAGTATGGGCTAAGGTGCCAGTAGTTTGATTTTTTTTTTCTCTGACCCACAGACTCAGTATATAATCCAGCTTCAGAAGGAAGATCTCCTTCTCTGAATAGTCATTCAAGGGCAATGAGCTGAAGAACTCCAAAATAACCAAGTAAAAGGAGCATTTCTGAAGAATCTGGAGCCTGCTCCAATGAAAACCCAAAGTGGAAACCCGGAAGTCGAAGCATGAGTAACTGTAATTCTTTAGGACTTACAGGCTTCTCTTCTTTATCTCTATGCCCTTCCCCCTCACTTCTTTCTTTTTCTTTTTCTTCTCATGCTTGTGCTCATTTCTTTATCTGAATTTTGTATACGTTCTGTGTCCTCCCCCCGTTACAATGGACACCCCTCACCATTCTTTCTCCCTCTCTTTTCTCTTTTACCATCTCTTGCTTTTTAAAATTTGTGTTAAATGGCCATGCCGTGTACGTGAACTACACACTACATCTTAACAGAATATTTCTTTCATCTCTTTCTCTAAGAAGACCCAGGAAGAAATGGAGAAAAAAAGGCATTCAAACACATGAAATACTTTTTACTTTTACCTTTCTTGTATTGATTTTATTTTGTCCTTAAACATTAATACCTTTGCTCTTCAGCTCTCTTGCAGCCTAGAGCACTGTGTTCCAAAAAGAAACCTTAATCAGATTCACCTAGGTGGTATCCTAAGCACATCAGATTCAGAATCAGATCTTTTTGGGTGAGAATCACCAGTCTTAGGAATATAGGTTTCAAAATAAACAGACTATCCACTGTCCATCTTGATACACGTCCTATGAAAACTACAAGAACCTACTGAAAGGTGCATTTTTTGTTGTTGTTGTTGTTGTTTTAGGTTATGGGAAAAATGTCCAAATACTGGCTTTAGCTGGAAATTAAAATTTGAAAAAAGAACAGCTATAAAATAAGTTTTCAGAGTTGTGTTTGACATATACCCTTTGAAGCTGAAGTAGGTTAACTGACATTGTTATTATGAGTTTCTTCAAATGTATTTCAGAATTGCTCAGTAAAGTCAGATATATTCAGAAAAAAATAGCCATTGAACTCATATAAAGCAGTCAGTACTATACACTGAAGTAAATAGTACATATTGCCATTATATTCTGTTAAAAAGTGTCTATGAAGTTAACTCTAATGTTAGCTGATCAAAATGCTTTTTGGTCAAGTAAGAAGTATGAAAGATAAAGTCTAGGAAAACTAATTCTACCTAATACTCTCTCTGATTATTGCTATAAATATTTTGGGAGAGTATATTTTCAAAGCGCTATACTACTTGTAAGTCATTTATAGTTGCCTTTTAGGACCCAATATTTTAAAATGGACCAAAACACAGGTCCTCTATTTGATTGCAGTTGGATATTGTCAAAACTGGTATTGTCAAAATCTGTGCTTTTGAAGTCTCAAGGCTTTTGACTTATAAAGCTTTGGTGTAATGTTAAATAACATATATGTTTCCCAGTATAAAATCTCTAATATGTAGAAAATTAAGCCAAGGAAAGATTGCTTCTCAAAGGCAATACTTTTATTAGGAAACCAATAAAACAGCGTAAAATTTTATAAGAAGTTATCTAAAATAATCGTTAGACTATCAATAGCCGAGTATGTCAAAATATAAACGTGTAGAGAGAATCAGAAGGAAATTAACAGTCATACCTTATTATGTGTCTGGGTCTGTCCAACCAGTATGAGGATGTTGGATGAGATGATAGACAGGCAGAAGTTAATTAGAATTATGGATCTCTCTGAGCGTATGTACCTAGCCAGAGAAAGAAAGAATGTCCAGCTTCAAAATTCAACAAAATGTCGAAACATTCTACATTGTGCCCTTGAGAAAATTAATCCAGCAAAAGCACTAAAAGCAACCTTTAAAGAAGTAAACACATAAAAATTGTTTTCATAAATATTTTTCTTAGAGAAATTTTTATTTTTAGTGTATGAAATATGCAGGAGATTTTTACATTTATTTTTTTCTTAGACATTAGTGTGAAGAATATGGAATTTCTGACATGGTCTAAATTGCACATCTATGGCCCCGATGCAGTTATTGTATAGAAATATAAAATTCATACATAAATTAAATTACCTTCATACATACATTTGTTAATGAGCATTATCTTAAGCATTACCATATATACCAACCAATAAGAACTGAGAATCAAAAGAATCCAAATATTCTGAAGTATCACTTTTCTAACAAGATGCTTACTCTGATGAAACTATGAAGCCTTTCAACCACTCTAGCATTTTCACACAGTATGTTATTTATTTGCCCAAATAACTATCCCTTTGTTCAAGAAAGAAAAGATGAGAAAAAGAAAGAAAATAATTCTTTATCTCTGCAAATGAATCTATTTCACAAATGGTAATTTACCGTTAGCCTAGAACATTACCTGGGGCATGTGATTGTTAAGTGTATCAAGAATGTATCCCATAGCAAAAACTTTTCAGAATCAAATGTTTCACCAGCTGATTACCCTGAAAAGGTAACAGCTATTTTGTTTTATTGTACCCTGTGGTAAATCACTAACAGTAACTAAAAGGCAACTTTATACTTGCTGTGTGTTTCAACCTGTTCAATTTGTATTATAACAGGGAATTCCATTCCACAGCAGGTATGGGTTTTCCTCTGCAGTGCTGGACAAGGGTGCCCAAGATGTGGAGGTGCTCTTTGAGAGATAAAATCTATTAGAGCTCTCTGTCTCTCACACCCTGTCTTTCAAAAATGTTTATGTAGAAACCCCACATTCCATTACACATTTGAGAAATGAAAGCAAAACACCAAAGTCACACCAAAATACCACAAAAAGATTTTATAAAATAATGCTCTTGTCTTCACAGAACAAAACCACATGAGACTAACCTAGGTCAATTCTCAGCACAAAGTGGCTTTAATTGTTGCTAAATCTTGTCTCTGTACCACAAGTGGCTAAAAGTACAACAAAGCACATGCCGAGATGCTAAAGACATCAAATATGAAGCTGTTCCTTCTTTTGTATACGAGGATATAACAAAAAGCTTAAGAGAGCTATAATTTTAACCCATTATATGATATTAATGATTTTCATGACAGTATAGGCACACATTATGAATATGATTTCAAATGATATTTTTTATTTCTAAAAAATAAAAAATTAGGGTAGTAAGAAACCAGAACTAAACACATGAGTCTAGATGTTTCCATTATGAGTCACGCTGTTGACCTAAAATTGCTATGAAACATATCAACACTCAGTATTTTACATAACATTTAATGTGTTAAACTACATTTTTGGATGCTTCATATCAATCACTAATTAAAAGGATTTGCTCAATTGCTTGTTGATGCAACAGTGTAACTTCGAAGAATATACCTATAGATGGAAAGAACATAACTCAGCATATTAATTTTTGTTCATCTTTTTCTTCATAGTTTTGGGGATTGAACTCAGGGCCTTTGTCCATCAAGGCAAATGCTCTACTACTGAGCTACACTGTTAGACTCCTATTAAATTTGGAGGGAACATTTCTGATGGGACATTCAAAAATTTCAAAATATCATATGAGGTATAAAGAAATCATTAGACAGTCAAAATGTCGAAGCATTTTAATTAAGAAAAAAGGCAGAAGAACCCTAACATCCTTATTACCATACAGTAATGTTACAGGGTAAATTTGGTGTTTATGAAGTTTTTAATTCATCATGCTACAAGGTCTACTTCGTAATTCGTGAGTCTTCACACTTCTTTCAAACTGTAACTATTCAGTTCTGTTGATGAACTCTTAATTCTTAGGAATTCAACTTTGTGTTATTGTTGCATACCCTATTTTATAATTCTCAAAGTTTTCATAGACACTTTGAGATGTTTTATTAATTCTTAAGAAATCACTGATTATTGCTTTTGCTATATTTTCTGAGTTAAGGGAAGTTTTATTGCGGTATAAATAATCCAATATTTTATAATTCATTTTAAATATATTTTTACTGACAGTGTTTATCCTAGTGTTATTCTTATGCATTAAGGGATAAAGAGAAAGTGGAATTAGTACTTAACTCATTAAGTGCTAAGAAATAGAATTTAATTCTAGATAGTTGGTAGGTATGAATTATGATGTTACTGTGATTATCTAGCATCTTGTCCCTTAACTACTGAAAGAAGTGACACTCAGGCAATTTGGGGACAGACAGTTGTCTTCTTCCTCACTTGTTCTTTCTTCTTGTCCTTATAAGACAATGCCTATTTGACAGCCATGGGCCCAGGATTCTGTTCTCTGAGATGCTACAGTGAAATTGAGCTCATTTCATTTCCCAGAATTGGCCACATTTTGTCAAGATTGTCCCAGTTTTGTATTTTTCACCACTAGATAATTCCTTCATATGGATATTAGGCTTCTGCTATGATAATGGGCCAAATGGGAGTATATTTTATTTTTGTGTGAAGCACCAAAAATTCTTGAAAGTTAATTCTTGTCCTCAAAAGAGTAAGACTCATGGAGAACAATATTTTGTTCTGAAAGATGTTAAATTAAATGGCCTTCACTCATTAAATTATAATTAATTTTTATTTTTCAACTGATTTTAAATACCTTAATTAAAAAATGGAGGCTGGAAGTTCTTTTATGTAAGAACATCTACTTTTGTTGTTTAATAGTCAAGAGAAATAAATACTTATCTATCTGCATTTTAGACCATTTCTAAAAGTCAAAATGAATATAAAATGATGTAACAATTAAAAGTATAAAATCCAACACAGAGTTGGGCCAGATATATATATATATATATATATATATATATATATATATATATATATATTCATGGTCAATATGTGAATGAATATAAAAAACCTCTCAGGTCCTATTAGTATAATACAAAATACGGGAGAAATTAATTAGAGAGATATTATATTTTATACAATAAGAAACATGCAATTTCAAATATTATAGAATAACATTTTTCTAACATTTCCATCTGTTTATATAATTTTATGACTTCTAACCATTTTTTCAAAATCTGACTTATTATACCACACCAAGAGACCTTTTCTAGAGCTCTGTGGTTGCCTGTTAGTGAGTGATTATTAGAGAAAGCTCTATTCACTGTCCAGGACATGCTGTAAAACTCAAGAAAGTAAAATCATATTTCTATGAAGGGAAAATTAATTTGACCATACCAGTTATACTCTCAGGTTCAAGAGCAACTGAGATAAATAGAAACCACATATCCACTGAAGTTGCAGTTAGAGCACCATGTGTACAGGCAAGCAAGTTGTTACAGGCTATCACTATTTGAACTGGAAAGAAGTGTATGCATCTGTGTGTGTACACATGTCTGTGTGTGCCACAAACAAACGCAGAAAGCAAAATCAAGTAAATATACATCATTGATTACAGCTGAATCACAGCAATTAAAACAGTTGTAAAAGTACTATTTTCAGCAAATTAAGGAGACAGGAGATGCACAATGGTTCTCATATTCCTTGCTTCAACTCTGAACAACTGAGTGTTCCAAGCCTATCAACTGATCACATACCTCCACAGTGCTGCATAGACAACTGCTAGGGTGATCAAGGCCAGGCAAGAAAGACCACTGCCAACTATTAGGGTAACTGAAGGTGTGCCAGAGGATTCCATGATCTGTAAATCAAACAAAATAGATGAGAAAGAGAAAAAAATGTTACAGGAACTACAACGGCTTTAAGACTCATCAGAACTCACCTATCATTCAAAAGTAGTCTAAATCGTTGTTACAGTTACCAGATAATTATCTATGGATCCACTCAACTTATATATTCCTAACTTCTAAAATGACTAATTCTAGTTCCCTCTTCTCTCACGAAGTCCTTGGGGTTTTAAATGCTCGACTGTGGCACACTACCTACTTAGAGCTTTCTAAAATACACACTTGAAACTACAACTTGGTTAACATTCACGTGTTAAATTTTCTTTAGTTTAAATCTGAAGCAGAATTCACTTTGCTTCAATTAACTACAGTTCAGTCACTTCACAAGATGATTCTTGGTAAATTTTACCACACTATTCCCATTTACAAGTCATTATGTTACCACATCTGGTACACAAATAGAAAAAAATTTTTCAAACTTTCTGACTTTTTGAGAACTTTGTTCTAAGTCAAGTATTCTCACATCAAATTTCAATTGGTTGGCCTCTGGAAATAAAGAATAAAATAAAATGTCAAATTGAAGACTTTAAAAAGTATATTTGTGGTTTTTATAAACAAAATATGCAGTGATACCAATCTCCAACGATTGTATCAGTTTCTAAAAACATGACCTTGAAAGATAAGCTCTATATCTTTTAAAACATAAAGATTATCAGCATTCCTTGATCTTAGAGGATTCTTTCCTTAGAGATGAATATGAAATTAACTAATGAAATCTGTTGTTTTTTCATAAATTAATATTTGAAGTTTTAAGGAATACATGTTAGTATTCAATGTGTTTCAAAATCTTAAATATGTATCTTAAATTGTATTAGATGTTTGTAATCATAAGACAAGTGATGCTTACTTAGGCCAAATGTGGGCAGAAAGTCATATTTATCTGAATAATCACTTTGCAATATTTCTATTTTTATCACATTTTATCACAATACATTTCATGAAAATATTATTTTTCTCTTAGACAGCTGTCTTTTTCAGGAACTAGTTTTACAAAACCAATATACTTTTAAGGAATAATTTCAACACCCATGCTTCCATGAAAACTCCATTATTTGAAAAAAATATATATATCTCCAAGGACACCCTCAGAAAACCTGTACTGAAAACACCCAATGCAGATATCCAATGTGTTTGGCTACAGTGTCTGGGGTCTCCATTCTACTACTAACAGTCTGTTCACAAATTCCCCCTAAAGAGCTTCCCAGTTTTAAAATAAAGGTTACACTGGCAATTATTTTTACTTGAAAGTTTGCAGCATATTAATAATATGATAGGAGCACATTCTCCAAACTATACTGCAGAAAATTCAAGTTACAAGACACAAAATTGAGTAGAATTTAGTTACAGCACGCCAACTAGAATTCATCTTTCTCAGCTACTGTAGCTCAGGAGGCGATGAACCCAATTTTGCCACCCTGCAACCTTTTCCATTTCCCCATTTAAAATGCACTTCCCTGGAGAAACACTCTCCACAGTGTCCCTGCCTGTGCGTTCCAGCCGTGTTTCCCTTTGTTACTTACTATTTCTCTAGGTTGCTGAGCCAAAATGGCGAAGGTAGAGAGACGATCACATAAGCACTTCGTATGGGATGCATCGGTAAGCACAGTTTTACATCCCTGGGTGGACCACGCTCCCAAAGACTCGTTCCTGCAAAGGAGGTGGGGGGCGGGAGATCGGGATAAATACGCGTGACAGCCAAATCCGTAAAGAAGAAAATGCAGTTTAATTGAGAGGATCGTCTACTGTAATTCCCATACAGGAAAAAAAAATTCTACTTGTATTTGAACAGGGCGTAATTTAGATTCATCTCCAGTAACGCCAAGCGAGTGTAGAGAACAGCAAGCCGGCGGCCGTGCAGCGTGCAGAGCGCTGTCCAGGGCCGCCGGTGCTGAAACCTGGACCTGCTCTGCGCAGCCCTCCGCGAGGAACCTCGCGGCTCCGCACCGCTAGAGCCCTGGCAGCCGCTCGCTATGCTCATCGGATCGCTTCAAACACTCGGCGTGCAGAGAAGCTTTCCAGATTTCATACCAGCTTTGATTCCCGGCCCGTCTTTTGGACCATGAATGCTGGTTTTAAAAATGCGGATTTCTCTTGAAAAGAAAAAAAAAAAAAAAACCTGCCTATAAGGTTACATAGCTTGGATTGGGAGGTAGGCTCTCCTCCGCTGCTGGTTAGGGATTTTTTCCTCCCTTCAGAATTAGCTGCTGTGAAAATTTCACCCTGGAAACGGGAAGCAGAAGCAGCGGCATCAGCTGGTTCCGACTCTCACTGCCTTCCCCTGGTTTCCAGGGGAGGGAGGGATTCAGATAGCGGCTTCCCACTCCACAGTTCACTCAGTCCAACGCTCCTAGAAGCCCTTGACATTTTTTCCCCTCGGCTGCTTCTTTGCCCTGGGGCCGAAGCATTAAGATAAAGCCAAGTCCACTAAAACATTTAGAAGAATAAATCCACCCCAAAGTCCAGGAAGAGGGGGAAAGACAGCCTGATTTAATTTTCTCTTTGGTGTTGCCATTCAAAATGCTAAAGCATATGATTTATTTCCCACCCCAGCAGAACAATAAAAATGGTATCAGCCCATGTCTTCCTACTGGGGGGATGGGGAGAACCTTTCCACCCCCAGCTGAATTAAACTATAGAAAGAGCAAAAAAGAAGAAAAAAGGCTATAGCACTCAACCAATCAATTTGATCATCATTACACGTGTTCTGTGTTGAATGCACCAACTGTCCCCTCCCCCAGGCATGGAACATCTTCAGCCAGCAAACCTGTGTGTATGCGCACACTTAAATTATAAGCCAAGTTACTATTTGTGTTCAACATGCCTCTATAATTCAAACAAAAAACCACATGGCTTGGTGTTAATTTCGATAAAGTACTTCTGATTTTGCCTTCTGCATCTCTGAATGCCTACAGCTATCGAGATAAATATGCATGCATTCTATTTCCAAGAGATTCAATGAGAGGTTTCTCTGTGACAGTTGGACTTCCAACTTGAGTTACAGAATATAATTCACACTATCTCTTGCTGGTTTCCATAAGCAATATCTTGTAAAAATATTCATTAAAATTCATGACTCAATACACTCAATTGTGATTTCTTTTCAGAAGGCATATACTACATTTGGGAAGAGTAAGCTGAAAATTACACCCAACTTTACCCAAATATGATTCAGTATTGGTCATTTCAAAATTTTCAGTCCTAAGTTTCTCTCACATCATGCATTAATGCCAAATTTAAGAAAAAACACTATCAGTATACCTTTAACCACAATATTAAAATCTAATTTCCCACAACTATAGCAGCATATCAGTTATTTCACCAGCTGATCAAAATTTTGAAAAGGTAGATACACCTAAGAGAAACTGACAGGTTTTTAAAACTTATCTATATTATTCATCCAGAATGGCACTTTTAGTTCAATGCAGTATCTTTCCTTTTGAGATGAAGTCCAATACTTATGATTTTCACATTATGGAGTTATGCCCAATATCTTAGCAACAAAATAATTTACTGTAAATATGAATTTATGGCCAGGCATTGTGACATATGCCTGTAATCCTAGCACTCTGGGAGGCTGAGGCAGGAGGATCAAAAGTTTGAGCTCAGTCTATGCAACTTAATGGCTTTAGTGAAACAAAGCTCAGTGTTAAGGTCCTGAGTTCAATTTCCAGTATGAAAAAAAGGACTCTATATAAAACAAAATTATACATTTGCAACCCTATAATGAGAGTTGATTGCTCAAGATGATATTAGCATCACTAAGCTCTGGCTGTCAAATATAGTCTATGTCCAAACAATGTTGCTAGACTCTGAAAATCATGTAAATTTTAGATTATAACACAGTTAGAAAGTAAGCCAATTTGCTTTAATCTGTACAGTAATTGCATCTTTGAGCTGGCCTAGTCTCAGGAAAAACTGGGAAGTCAGAAATTCTGATCTTCACTCTTCCCAACCCCCTGCTCCTACCACAAAACATGCAATGCTTCTTTTCCTATGTACCTTCCTGGGGCTACCCTATCTCTGATAATTTAACATTCACATCCTACTTTAAAAGAAGATCTATAGCACAAGATAATGAATCTGATAGGAGAAGATCAGAATTTATAACAGGCAAGTAAGAGGAAACATCTTGAGAAGTGAAGGGGATAACTACCCAGGTCACTCTCAACAGCTGAGTAATACAATGTGTGACACCATTCTGATGATAAACATACGTTGTTTCTTAAAAGCTCTTGAGATTTTAATATTATATACAACTTTTATAAATGAGTTTTTCAATCATAATTATACACATGGCTATTACTACAACTTCGGTAGTATGTGTTCCTTGCATTTTCAAGCTTTTCATAGTTTATCCTCACTCTACAAAATTCTTTGAAAGCATAGCACATGTGTTGATTGATTTCAGGGCAATCTTGTAAGGAAAACTGATCTGTCATAGAGCTAATATGTAGCAAAACAGATACCCTATTGTGCAGGAAGCAAGGTTTACAGGTGCAGACTACTGAGGCACTCACATTATTCTTCCAAAGTCATAGTTATTGCATGCTACAGTAGATGCTTTATCTCTGAATTACTCTTAAGTCTAGGCTGTCATCCCTTAGACAAACAGATGTGAAATACATATAAAGTTAACAATATGATAATAGAGTGATGACTTCAAAAGCAGACACAGATTGGTGATACAGATATAGACATTATACTGAAAATCAAATCATGTTTCCTTTTTGTAGTGTCTTTTCTGTGTATTATGTAATTTTTTCCCAAACAGATATGAACACAGTTTTGCCTGAAGAAATTCCATACAACCAGCATATTCTTTGTTGGCTAAACCTACGTTCACCAGCGTTAGCTGGAAGCTGTCATCTGAACACCTTCTCCCTCCTATTAATAGGCTGGCTAAAAGAAAGAAAGACTCTTCCTGCTGCAAGTATTCAAATAGTATATCACCATCACAGCATTCTGTGAAAACACAGGATATGAAACCTATTACTTTTCGACTTAGTATCTACTGGAGATCTCTTATCAATTTTCTGAGCATCAACATTGTCTCTTTTTGGATTTGAGCATTTGGTTAAGTTTCTTATCTCATGTAGCTTTAAAAACAATGCTCACCTCTATTCTCTAGTAGTATTTAAAATTAAAATGAAAATACAATTAAAAGAGAATGCTGTCTGCTTACTCCAATGAAACGTTGTATAATGCATAATTCATGACAAAAATTTCCAGTGAGATATTCCAAAGATGTTTCAAGAAATCTTTTGAAACATCAATACAACTACTCAGTCCACTTTAACCATTCTTTAAGGAAGCTGTCCATTCTAGTTCATATTTAAATGAGTATGTAAATATTTTTATACACTGTAGGAAGTTTATTAACTCTTAGTAATATTTAGAGTACATTTATTCAAAACAAAGTAACTACAGAAGCAATTTTAAAGGAATTTTATACACAATGCATAAGTATCCATTGCACATGTATCAAAAGAATCACAGTGATGTTTTCTAAGAATCAAGTGAATCTATTATTTTTAAAGCATGAATTGCATCATAATAATGATATATACTTGATATTTTGTGTAAATTATTCTTGTACTATTTGGCAAATTTTCTAAGTACAAACAAGAAAATGTGCTCCATTTTTAATAGAAACAGTCTTTGAGAGAAATCTATTTTGATTTTAGTACATTACAAACACTGAGAACAGTACCTCTAGCAACTTACTGTTAGAACATGCCAAATCATAAATTAGAAAGTTTTGCCAGAAGTAACCTTAGTGATCACTGAGAGCATTGGTTTTCAACCCTTGGTTACATTAAATAACACCTGGAGAGCTTTGAAAATTAAACCCTGAGGTGGTTTTTGAATTTTATTGCTTTAAAAACATACTCTGCCAGTGATTCAAGTGTACAACCAGTACCACCAAGCTACCCCAAACACATAGACAAGGGAAGTGAGGGGCAGTGAATGCAAAAAACTTGTTTTAATTCAGAGTTAGAAGCAAAGCTGGGGTTTCTTATTTCTACAGTAGTGATTTTTAAGTCTAAGTTTTCATCGTAATGTGTTTTAAAACAGAATATAATGAAGTTATAAGAAATTATAATTTAAAAATCTGATATATATCATATATATCGAGAGAGACAGAGTGCATGCATGAGAAAGAGAGAGGAAAAAAGAGAGGGAGAGAGGGATAGAAGGAGAGAGGGGGAGAGATATGGAGGGAGGGAGGGAGGGAAGGAGGGAGAGAGGGAGGGAGGGAGAGAGAGAGAGAGAGAGAGAGAGAGAGAGAGAGAGAGAGAAAGAGAGAGAGAGAGAATGAATGAATATGCTTCATTTATTGGGATGAGATTTGGAAGCACAGGTACTTTTTCAGTATCAGGAAGAATCGTCATTATCCCAGGTCCTGGAATAAAAGTGGTCCCTTTATAACAAAACATCAGATTTCTAATTTGTTGTCTGGAAAGTATCTGGTTCCAGCAATGCTCTACACTTAGATCTTCCTCATACTCTTCAGTGCCTGTTAATGTTTTTCATCAAAAGTCACAGAATTAGTTAATACATTCATCTTACCTTAATTTATAAAATTAACACTTTTGCCTTCTCATTGCTATGTTAGTGCTATAGGGAACTGTATCTTGTTGAATTTG